ACCGTCTCATACTCACACGATAACACCGACTCATACTCGCACGATAACACCGTCTCATACTCGCACGATAACACCGTCTCATACTCGCACGATAACACCGTGTCATACTCGCACGATAACACCGTGTCATTAGCGCCAGCGAACACAGAGATGCGCTGTATCTGATCGATGTGATCCAGAGAAACCGCATCACGGATACTCACGGGACGGTGACGGCTCTCGGTGCTCGGAGCGAGATGCTCGGGGGGCCTCCTCCTGCTCCGCAGTCAGGCTTTCCTCCCTCAGCTCCGGCTCCGGCTCCGAGGAGGAGGAGGATGGTGCTCCAGCGGGCTCTGGGGGCTCTTCGCTAGCAGCTGGAGCACAGCTTTCTTCTGCTGGCTCTGGAGGACTAGTTTCCTCAGTTATCAGCCAAGTGCTGCTGATTTCAGCTATCTGTGTAGTCAAGCTTTCTTCACTTATCTGTGGAGCACTGGCGTCTTCAGATCTTTGTGGAGTAATAGCTTCTTCAGTCATCCCAGGAGTAACGTTACTAGTCACCTCAATTTTCTGTGAAGCACTAGTTACCTCAGTAATCTGTGCAGTACTAGTTACCTCAGTAATCTGTGCAGTACTAGTTACCTCAGTTTTCTGTGAAGCACTAGTTGCCTCAGTAATCTGTGGAGCACTAATAGTTAGACAGTTAACAGTTAGAGCACTAGTCACCTCAGTTAGAGCACTAGTCACCTCAGTCGTCTGTGGAGCACTAGTTGTCTGTGCAGTAGTGAGGTTAGTGAGGTTGTTGAGCCCCGGTGGATGCTCCTCCGCGCTGCGCATAAAAACGTCTGCCGGTGTCCGAGCGGCTGCAGCGGCTGCATTCATGATGATACCGCGCGGAGCTCCATCGGGTGCAGTGGAGGAAACGTTATCTGCTTCTTCCATCTGGAATCTGCTCTTGGTGCTCCAGACTCGAGTGTTGCGGCTGAGGGCTGACCGTTTTCCGCAGCAGAGCCTCGACGCAGCTCAACTTCGCAGACTCCGCCAAAGTGACTAAGCGGAATACTGACTAGAATTCCTTGACCAATCAGTAAACACCACTGGTTGAGTGATGTAACGAGTGGCCAATCGAGAAGCAGAAGCGCGCTAAGCCCCGCCTATATCGGTTCGTCCGCGCCTCTTTTCTCATGCTTGCTCTTTGTGATGTGCTTTATGTTAGAGTTTAACCTCATCATCACAGAAATCCACCACAGTAAACACACACACTCACACGCACACTCACACACACACACACACTCACACGCACACTCACACACACACACACACTCACACGCACACTCACACACACACACACACACACACTCTCTCACACACACACACACACTCTCTCTCTCACACACACACACACACACACTCTCCCACATACACACTCACACACACGCATTCACACGCACACACTCACACTCACACACACGCACACTCTCACACACACACAGAGCACTAGTCACCTCAGTTAGAGCACTAGTCACCTCAGTTAGAGCACTAGTCACCTCAGTCGTCTGTGGAGCACTAGTTGTCTCACACGATAACACCGTGTCATACTCACACGATAACACCGTCTCATACTCACACGACTAATACTCACACGAAAACACCGTCTCATACTCTAATACTCACACGATTAATACTCCGACTAATACTCACACGATAACACCGTCTCATACTCGCACGATAACACCGTCTCATACTCGCACGATAACACCGTGTCATACTCACACGATAACACCGTCTCATACTCACACGACTAATACTCACACGAAAACACCGTCTCATACTCTAATACTCACACGATTAATACTCCGACTAATACTCACACGATAACACCGACTCATACTCGCACGATAACACCGTCTCATACTCGCACGATAACACCGTCTCATACTCGCACGATAACACCGACTCATACTCACACGATAACACCGACTCATACTCGCACGATAACACCGTCTCATACTCACACGATAACACCGACTAATACTCACACGATAACATTATGTGTGTGCGTGTGAATGCGTGTGTGTGAGTGTGTATGTGTGATACACACATACACACATACACACACACACACACACTCACACACACACACACACACACACACACACTCTCACACACACACACGCATTCACACGCACACACACACTCTCACACAACACACACACTCACACACACACACACACACACATACACACACTCACACTCACACTCACACACACACACACACACACATACACACACACACACGATGATGTTTTCTGTACGTACTGAAACCTAGCAGGACGCTCATATAATCTGAACAGCACTGATATTTGTGAATATCATATTCTCCTGATGGTTATTCTTTCTCTCTATTGTATTATTTGTTTGATATTAAATAAATGAAAGAAAGAAAGAGAAGTTCTGTGAAGCTGTGTATAGGCTATGTGTTTGGTGTAGTATGTTGTGCTGTGTAGACGGAACTATATATAAATGTAAATATATCCTACATGTGCTACACATATGTATATCTCACAGGTCATTTTTCAGATACGTGCGCATGCCATCCATGTGTGTGCAGTAATATGCACATGTACAGTCTGATCTATGAATGCTGGTGATTTGTCTTGAGCAGTTTGTATAATACTTTATAGCACACTAGTGAGGCAGTGTGCAGCACATCTCATAAACATCTGCATCGTTCTGCCAGCTCAGATAGCATGCAGGTGCTCTTGTGTTACTGAGTGCTGCTGTGCCTGTCACTCACACACACACTTACACACACACACACACACACACACTTACACATTCATTCACACACACACACACACACACACACACACACACACTCACACACACACTTACACATTCACTCACACACACACACACATACTTCTATCGCCCTACACCAACCCTACCCCTAAACCTACCCCTTACAGAAAACTACTGGCAATTTTTGAATGTCATAAAACACATAAAACATTTTGTATGTTTTTTAAGCCTTTTGTTTTACGAGGACACAGGAAGTGTCCTCATAAACCATGTTGACGTTGTAGCAACCAGTCTGGTTTCAGAAGTGGACATTCGACCGAGACTGCCTTGCTCTCAGCTGTTGAAGCCCTAAGACTGGCAAGAGCGGATTCCAGATCTTCAATACTTATCTTGCTGGATCTGTCCGCTGCTTTTGACACGGTTAACCACCAGATCCTCATGTCAG